GAAGATGACTGTCTTCCGGGTTGTAGCGCCGTATAGTCTTGTAGATGCGTGTCACCGCCCTGATGATGGAGGCAACAAGGACCTCTGAAACGTCTGAAAACTTCTACCAGACTATACGGCGCAACAAACCAGAAGACAGGCATCTTCAGACTCACCACTGTAAAAACCTTAAATCCAACAAGAACCAAATCGCTAATTATAGAAACGTGAAATTATAACAATACGGAAAAATTCTATTTGTTTACTAACCTGTAGGTACTACTCGTACCTTTCATACATTTAAGATCAAAGCAACAGTCACATTAACGGGTGCACTGATGATAATAAACGGAAATGTCATGTTAACATTAAACTTGTGCAGTCGCCAGTCTGAGTATCCACTCCAAGGGCTCAGGTCCACTGAATATAATGAGTTTTAAACTGCTAGCGGGACCTCTGTTGGAATTGAATCCCAGGTTCTGGACAAGGGCCACTACACAGAGGTGTGTAAATGAAGAACAGTATTTGTTTTCAGGACAGCGTCGGTTTTGCTTTAGGGGGCTTTATACATTTTTTTGCCTACTATTTGTTACCGTGTATACACAGGGCCTATCCCAGAGTTTTAATAAAAGTCCAGATTAAATACAAAATATATGAGTTGGTGTTATTGTACTTCTGACTATCCGATTTGAACACAAAAAGTGAAAAGAGGAAAAAGATTCCATCAGGCTGATGTAAAACCACTGTAACAAAACCAATGTGTGTGATTTCAGGCGTTCATGACGCATGAATGTTCATATGGATTCTGATTCTGAATGATGACATCATTCAGATGAACACTGCACTGATGTCTGCATCACCCACGAACAGAAATAAATATAATGTGCATACAAACACAGTCCGTAAAACGTAGGAACATACATATCTTCTGGGATACTCCGCAGTTTGGTCATGTAGAAGTTTACTGACGTTTCAGAGGTTCTTGCTACTTCCATCATCAGGGCGAAGAATAAGAAGCTCACAAGAAAATTCCTGGTGAATTTCTACGAGAATACAAGGCGCGATGTGTAAGAACACAATTATCTTTCTAGGAACACATGTACTAGACTCATTACCTATCCGCCCACCCACAGATCTACATGTATTTCAGAGCCAGGATAAGGCGGTAAATTCTCTGTCTCGAACATGATAAGAAGAAGATACAAAAAGAAGAAAAAACATCGATACGAAGCATTACGCTCAGTTACTCTTCATTTCAAATGACGACACATTTTGAACTGAACTATAGGTCCATGAAGGTAATAAGCTCATAACTAACACGAGGAGCAAAGTCCTTCTTAAGAGAATAGTCGGTCAGGTGTTAAAGATATGGAACCAGAAGATTCATTATCCTGTTCACAATATCCCAACTCCGATCTTTCCTGGGCCATATAAATCCAGAAGATGCATTTCGTTACTGTTATCCGCATTTAGGCGTAGCTGTCCTAAGTGATTTAAATATTCTGTTCAGTTTTCCCGATGAAAATTGTATACGTATTTATAATCTCCCCCACGCCCAACTCATCCTCCTTGATTTGATCACTCTAATTATATTTGTTGAACAGTACAAATTATTAAGCTCCTCGTTGTTCAATTTCCTCGAGTATCTTGTTATTTTCTGCTTCCTAGATCAACAATCTTCTTTCGTACATCCTCATGTCCCTTTCTTCAAGAGGAACAATGCTTTAAACCCCATGCAATCAACAGGTAAAATCATAGACTTTATGTTTTATAATTACGTTTTTTGCAATAGATCTTAAGACAAATAATTCTTAACTAAATTATAAGATGCATTCTCCGAATTTAATCTGCTATTAATCTAGTATTAAGTACATATGCAGGAATTCAACGTGAAAAAACATGAGATGGTTTCTGCAGTCTCAAGAATATGCCTTTTAAATTCAGCAAAATACTCATAACGCCTACGTTGCTTCAAATTTTAACCTGTAGGCTACAGCAAATATAACAGGGAGAAGAGTCTAGTCATCATACACATTATTGACCAATTTATTTCCTCAGTTTTTATTAGTGCAAGTTTAAGACTCCATTAATTTGTCATGCACAACGTCTTCAACACGTTTTTAATTTTTAACGCATGAAACGTTTTCTTACAAAATTTGTTGCTATGTTTATGATCCATATGCATACAAAACTTCACGTCATCGAGTTTGGCATGAATTTTCTCTGAGAAATGTAACAAATAAATAAATAAATGAACATCTGGGGGTCACGAGTAACTATAGGCAAACAACATCGCAACTTAATTCGACTTTAGTGGGGAAGACGTAACAACCAAATACTTCAATGGAGAAGTTCGTTTCTCTGACTCAATCTGGGTAGACGGCGGGGAATTTTTATGTATACACCCGTATTGGCTACGTCTGAAACTTGTGCAAGTTTTAAGTTATTCGCGGCAAGAATGTGGACGAACCAGTCACTGCAGACCAAGGTCACCTTTACACGACAGAAATCGGCTGACTACTCGTATGGAGTTATCAGGAATATAATATAACATGCAGACGTCTGAGTGTATTCCATAACTTAAATCTGTTCAGACAACAGCGCCATTATCCGAAATTCCCTTGTTTTGGTGGAAAGTTTCCGAGCCAATTAGATACTCTTCCTTCATTAAGCTTGTTCATACGACCGACATTTCAGCTGCAGGCATAAACTTATATCGGTTATAAATTTTCCGAAAGCGAGTTGGGAAAACTCGCTCGACTGGCATATGGCCATCTGTTTAATATTACTCCAGGAATTTAAATTTACACACCACATACTTTCCTTTAAGCTCGGAGATTTTCCATACAAAGTGTAGGAACAAACACACCTATACACCAAAATATCGTCTTAACTCATTTTCATTAATTGATCGTGACAAATTATTATCTGCAAAGTATCGTAACGTAAGTACAAAATAGTCTTATAAATCTACTTGTTATTAATAAACAATACCTAGATACAACTGTACTTGTCGCTTATTTAAGCTGTCACAGAAAGAGAAAATTCAAGAAAACTGGCAGTATTGATTCGCTGTAGGACAAAGTAGGTAATAGGAAATCAAAATTTTAATGGTAACGGTGATTAAAGTATTAACGTTTACAAAAAAATACTGTATATGAGATAAGTGCAGATTTATGATGGCCAAAATCTTCACATTACATTTTAAAATATTTAAATAAAATTATCGTCGAACGATATCATAGATGCGTAAAAATCAATTAATTATCAAAACCTGACTAAATACGATCGGTAACTAGAAATTTAAGAACACTATTGCCGGAAACTGGGGACAAGGTGATCCTAACGGAGGACCGAAAATACCTGTGTATGCAGTTAAGTATTAAGCGAAAAAATTACGTACGGGACACAGGATAAAAAAACATTACATTGTGGACAGATTGAGGGTTAAGTTTGGTATCTACCTACATGTCCACACGGCGTTATAACCCAGATAATCGTTATCATCTTCACCTCCGTGAAAAGTTCAAATCACAAAAGTGTTTTTGAATAAAAACATTAATATAATTTTAGCAAATCCAAATAAACTATTGCCATAAACAATTTCGTTTGCTATCCACGCCATTTCGACCTACGTAACTGACGTTTAACAAGTTACGAACTCTTCACAAAGCATAATAATTCTGGCGCGTTCGCTCTGTCAATGCGTCTAGGTACTTAATAAGCGAATAAAACGTTTTAATACTCTCTTCTATATATCGTAAAACCTGCGAGGCGACCAAAGTTTGTCTGAAACTATACTCAAAACGTTTTTGTTCCGATAAACATTTAGGGATATCTGCGCGCAGACACGCAGTTATGCCTTTATTTAAAACTTCACAAACAATTTAGTTTTCCTACGTAATAGAAGAATGTCCATAAGAGAGAAGTACTCTCTTGCCAGCTGTAAGAAATGTAATATCAACAATAAATAGAATCGGCTGTCTAGCAGGGGCCCAGGGCCCACCAGTTCAAAGACTAATTAGCAGGATATTTCATTCACACCATCTAACATCAACCGCTGACACGTCATAAATCATATGAATGTTAAAGGCACAGTAACAAGCATTACAAAGCAAACACAGACCACGTAGTAGCAAGGCAACAGGTTTTTGCGCTACAAGATTTCATTCATTACAATTATCATACAAAAACAAAAGAAACAATAATATATTAGTAGCCATACTTGCCATAAGAGCCAATACGTCGACTAATAATCGTAGAAACGTAACAAAGAAAATGATGAAGCATGCAGATTTATTGTTCTGACGGCGACAAGTAAGAAAATGGGTGTCATCTGGTTGCATTCTGCAGTCTGGTAGATAGATAACGACGTTTCAGAGGTGCTTTAATGGAGGCAGTACGAACTTCTGAAACGTTGGTTGATATCTATCAGACTTCACGGCGCAACACCCCGTAAGACAGCCATCGTTACATATAATTAATTTTATTTCCTGAAAAAATTACATTCCAAGACGCAAATAATTCGTAATTTAATTCCTTTCCAATATGAAAATTTTAACCAGTGCAAAGTGAATACATCCAAGAAGGGTAATCTAAAATACAAATGTTCATTAAATATTGCAGTGCTATTTCTCTTTATTTAGATTATTGCTGACACATTCAAGCAATAGTTTAACGATCTTAATTGCTATATGTAGATTTATTTTTTATAAAAATTTATACAGTGTCAGCAATGTTTAATCTTGTCGGGCGAGTGAATAAGTAGGATGTGTGTGGTGAATGAGTTATTGATTTTTTATTTTGCTTGCTAAAAAATGTATTCACTACACCAATTTAGAATTCGTGACTGATTAAACACAAATGTGGACAACAACTAATATTGACCTTCACGGGCCATAAAATTAAAGATGGCTGTGTGAAATGCGCGTAAACTCAGGTTTTCCTTGCAGTGCATTTACCCTTTTTGTGTCAGGCTTGACATATACTACTACGTGGTGATTAGTCGAGTTGCGGCTTACCTTTGCTTCGGCGTCTTCACCCCTGCACGTTCTGACAGAAACGACTTGGGCAGCGACAGAGACCTCTGCTGGGATTCTAGCATAACTTTGTTTCGATTTTCTACCACCTCCGCTGGAGCACTTCCAGGTCGGGGTTCTAACACTGACTTGCTGTGGTCACCAACCGGTGACTTAATCATCAACATTACTGTTGACGAGGCATCTTCCAAAGGGGTGGATGTCCCAGAACTTTTTTGGGTTCTCGGACTCTTCATGACGGTACGGTCTGACGTCGTCACCCACACGTCACTGGATGACGACGATGACGAAGAGGTTCCTCCGACTGCGGAAGGCGATCTGCTGTTGACAATGGGAGACGCTTTACGTTCCCTCGGAACACTTAGCTGTCTCTCAAAGTCATCCTCCACCAGATCTATCAAAGGAGACACAACGCTTGGACTACCGTTTGCTTGACGGAGACCTGAACCCATCCCCACACTGAAACCAGTATCCCTCTTATACTGATCGGCGTCCCTGTCTATGGAGGAGTTAGTAGACGATGAGGTATCTAAACCGACTTTAATTCTTTCAGAATTAGTGCCAAAACTTGCGGGACGTCTAGGAATCTGCGAATATTGAAACGGAACCCCACTGTTTCTCCATTTCGGTTTCTTGTCCTCCGCATCCAAAGGAATAGATTTCCTATCAGATGGACTGCTGACACCATTGAGGCCACTTTGATTTTTCCTGGGCATCGTGAGTTCGTATTCGTCGACTCGCTCTAGAGACGCGGGAGATGATCTCGTGGATTGTCCACCCCCACGGGGTCCATCCACTCGCTTGCTCTTTTCGTCATTATCGTAATTTCGCCTTGGTTCGTTCCTACCTCGTTGATTTTGAGTCACTGCAGTGGTGGGGTAGCTCTGAGAGAGCCGCATGTTACTGGCTGCAGATGCGGCTGTAGGCAACTTGGGTCCGGAAGATGGGGAAGGTGTTGATGACTTGCTATGGCCAGAAGGCGGGTATAGGCTATCGAGATGAGCACAGTGCGGCCAGAAATCACAAGTATCTGGGTTGATGTTCGGGCAGAAGACGCTGGCGACAGTTGTGGCGGAGGGTGTGGTGATTCCACGCTGCAGAACTCTCTGTCGCTGCTGAGGCTGTTGCTTGCCCTTGTTTCGGGACACGAAAAAGATGTTGAAGCCCGGCTCAGGTTCCTTACTGCGGCGCTCCTGTTCCTGTTCGGCGTGGTACCGTGCTTGGAGAAGCGCACGGGCGGCAGCGCGGCTCCGAGTACCGTGCAAGTAATCTGTTACGGCACGGGCCTCGTCCTCCCAGCGCACTCCGTCCTCGTACCGGCTATCCTCCGACTGCGTCTTTCCTAAAACGTCAAAGCCGCAGAGGAAAAATGGGTGAAGACATATAGAAGAAAACAGAGGTTTGTAGACTGGTGGCTGGTAGTGAACTGTGTCGATCATTATGCCTATAAACTCACCTAAGAACTAAATTATTAAGAATTATTTTAGACGTCTAGATAGCTGATATACAAGCCTTCGAAATATAAACCTTGCAACAGTTGGGAAAACTAGCAATTTGATTATTTATTACGTGTCCTAAGCGTACTAACAGACCGCTTCTGATTACCTTCAGCTGAGATTTAATCAAACAGTTTTCTCAAATATTTTTTTAAAAATAATTTTGCATTCAGTAGTATTTCTAAACATGAACAGTTAATACGTGTTGTGCTCAAATATATTTTTATTATCACCATCATTACTGTCGATGTTTAATAAACAAACACGCCGCCCTAGTAGAATACGAAGGAACACGTAAAAAAATTCATTATTCAGAACACTCTTCGTGGGAGTGATAATTACTTCCACTATTTCTTAACAGGGTCAACACTTAATCGTAAGCAAAGTAAACGTTAACTTCGGAAGAATTAACTGCTGTCCGATAATGAATCCCAGCGTTACCAGCGTCACGAATCGTCAGGTTAGTTTCCATTGAAATAGAATGGAACCGATTTAGATGCATTTCCGCATCCGTTTGCTTCACCACCAAGTTAGACTGTTAATCTTCTCATTACTTTAACGCCCTTCTGGGACTAATCGTGCATGGTTTCATGACGCCCAGAAACTATTTTCCACGAAAGAGATTATTTTTTTAATTTGGATATTTGTTCTTAACGTAAACCTGTTCCATTAGCAGCTCTGATAAAGGCTCGCAACTGAACCACTAATTATTAATTTTCATTTAAAAAAACTCCCGTGCAGCTGAAAGACTGAAGACGTTATTACGTACTGCTGTGTATGAAGGGGCGTCTTGGTTTTTCCATTGGCTCGCCACCGATTTTAACTACCACTCGGTGCGGTTCTGCGGGCACCTGCTGCTGCTGGAGGTAGTAGTGATGTGGGTGTTGCTTCACCAGCAAGTATTGACAGTCCGTGTGACTGTGGCTACCGGGTGACAGGGCTCCGGGAGACTTCGTTTCCGGCAACTGCAGACTACGCGAGCGACGCACGCGGTTTCTACCGTCCCACGTGTCATAGCTGTGAGAAACAGCTTCCGGAACTCGGATCACAGCTTGTACTTGCTGCTGCTGCTGCTGCTGCTGCTGCTGTTGTTGTTGTTGTTGTTGTTGTTGTTGTTGCTGCTGCTGCTGCTGCTGCTGCTTCGCAATCGAATGGCTCACCGAGCGCCTGAAAGCGTGTGTTAAACCCGTTCTTCCCGTGCAGCTACTCGACGAAGATGACGAAGACGAGGAAGAATTATTCCAAACTTGTTTCTTGTTGTTTCCTTCGGAACCTGGTGACTTCCTTAACGGATGCGTGCGGTGTTCTAATCTCTGGTTTTGGTGATGGAGTCGGATGGAGTCCCTGTGACGTACTGAAGATGGCGATATCTTTTCACCGTTAACAAGAAACCGTTCTTTTGGCTGGAGTCCAGAGACAGCAGCAGGAGTGTCAGGCGAGGAGTTAGTGACTGTTATGGTTGAGAATGCACTGAGATTCAAGGATGACTCGCGGTTTTCCTCTTCATCACCGTCCTCGTATCCGCCCACAGAGGAGTCTGTCTCAGACAGTCGAGGCATGGTAGCGCGCGGGTTAATGCTGCTGTCCAGGCTTCTGAACCCGAAAGACGAAGATGATGACGACGATGAATCATTCTTTTGGAACCGCGACCTGCGAGTTCCACTTCCCGTCGTTTCCTCCAAAGACTTAGTTTGTGGAATTCGTAGCGGCTGCTGCTGATGCGTGTCGACTGGTGACGGCGTGAGCCGACGCGCTCTCAGGGAACCCGGGGGCGCCGCTGTGCGCGGAGAGGGAAGCGTACTCCAGTTTACAGTAGGAGGTGGCGACGGCGGTGGGCTGACAATATCGCTGTCCACAATGGCGTTTGAACGAGGGAGGAATGGATGCTTACCGGCACCGGTTCGAAGACGAGGAGCTGTCTGGTATCTACGACTTGGGTCCTGGAATGCCGGCGGCGGAGATATAATCGGAGTTACTGACGGTGGCGACATTGGATCACCAGACAAGCCCAGGTCTTGAGGGGACGGCGATGCACTGCGACTGTTAATGCGATGCTCAAACTCCCGTCCTTGGGTGATTCCGATTGGGAGCGGAAGAAAGGCGGGTCGCTGTTGCTCCTCGACTTTGACAGCTTCTGGGAACTTGCCAGGTTCACTATTGCTGCAATGGTAGTCCGCGAGCTTGATGCCTGGACGTCGACCTGGCAGTGTGCCCCCGACGGGTGCAGCAGGCGCAGTAGAGGGAGCACTGTGTAGCATGCCATAGTTGGCTCTGCGGTTTTCATCCAGCGAGCGTTGCTGGACCTGAACCCAGCCAGAGCGGCCGAGGTAGACGCCATCAACTTCGCGGTCGCACCAGCGGACCGGCGACAACTCGCGGCTGCAGCTGCCATTGTTGGTACCACGATCAACGGATGACGCCATGCTACCGGCGATGAAGAGGGCGGTCGGACCAGTGTCCCGGCGACGAGAAGTCGGCAACGACGCATAGTTTGAGTTTCGTGACTGTGTGGCACTGTTGCCCGCGTACTTGACTTGTAACGTGGGGATGGAGCTCACGTGACTCGCCACGCTGCTTCGGGACGAAGGCCTCGAGCCATGCGAGGCCGTCGTGGTCGCTGTCTCCCAGGGCTCCGACGTGCTGCGCAGATGCAGGACTGACACGTTAGGACCCCTGTCAGTAGAAACACCTCGTTACAGTGCAAGTATAAATTTCACTGATGCCACAGCCAAAGCCGCTTTGTCAAATGACTAATGAGTGTGACTGTCCACAGCCCCCGAACTATTAGCCCACCCCCACACCGCGCTATTACCAATAGTTTATGCTTAAACTCCCACAAAATATTTCAAAATTCTCAAGAAAATATTCGCAAATAGTTTTGTCTACGTTTTTAAACCTTTCAAATTTGAAGTAGTGATATTATTATTTTTATTTATAGAATGTAGAAAAGTTTTTAAGAGCTAGTTTAACTGGTGAGTTCAATTTAAGTACTAGGCAGTAGGTAACACCGACTTACGACAAAGTAATTTATTTTGCATTGGAACTTTTGGTAGTTATTACTTCTGATTTGAATGTGTACACTTTTGAATGTCATATTTTAAAAACAATAATTTGAAACCAAGATTCTTTTCTAGATTCACTACTTTCAAACATTGCCTATCCTTTTATTTTTTGTTAATATAAATACATTCAGTAGGCCTACTGGTATCAAGCTGTAAGTCAATTTATTAAAAATAGAAATAAAAGGAGAGGGCTCGATGATCACAATTTTCGAAAATCCCATCAGAGCCTTATAGCGGCCATGGTTACAACTAAATCAAATTCGATCTTGAATAATTATTAAAAGTTGTGATCAACATATGTGCCATAACTGACAAGAACTGCACGTCCATTTTACGGTCTATTTTCGTAAAGATAAACTGCGTATATATGTCTCTGATCCAAATGCTCTCTCTATAAACGTAAATCTTAAATACACTAGCGATTACCTACTTTGAATACGTCTGCCAGGTTATCCGTAAGTATCCTCAGATAACAAGAACAAAAAATAAAGTGGCAACCTATAAATTTAAGATGGGTCACCATATTTATTCCCGAATACCTTATTTTTCATCATTCTACCATTCAGTATTCGCAGCCAATAAAACACAGCATTTAATTTAATAAGAGACGATGTTATATGCAGTCATAGCACGGAAATTTAACACAAATTTGTTTTAGATCCCCTTAAATCCTGCTTTATTTAAGATCAGACATGGACCGTATTCAAAGTAAACCGCATGAATGAACGGAGTTTGATTTTTCTGTTACCGACTTGAAACGCGGCAGAAAGAGATTATAAGGTCTAATGAACGAGATCTCTGGAGCAGATTTCTCCCTGAGAAGCTAATTATTTATCAGCTGGATAAAAACTCCCAGTCTTTACTGTGACTCAAAGGTTAAGAACCATGTTCATAAAATCCCACCATTAGATTCTACCCTCAACCTACGTACTATGAATTATTAGTAACAGATTTAAATTTTCGTTTAACTACAAACACGTGTCGGCACGATGCAAACTGCAAAGCATCATCTTATTTTACGTTCCCATCGCGTTAAAAACGTTGTAGCCCGATAAGGTTTTATTGAATATTATAATAACTTTATAGATATTCTATTCAGTACTTATAACTCAACCACAGATATTTTACTTGTGAGAATAAATTATTTCGCCTTGTAATTGTGATCCGAAATATTTTACGCAGCCCTTGTCATTACCGTAATATTTTCTTGTACAAAACATACGTTGAAATATAATCTAACTCGTTCATATAGACTCGAAACTACAAATTTTGTTCAGCAGTCTAAATTATTTTGGTTCGGAATGGTGTAAGAAGATATCCCCTTTAGTTTCAGTACTGAAGTGGCGCATCCAGCATATTTCCGTCGCATTACTTCGAAAGATAATCCTATTAAGTCGCTTTCCGTGAACTCAGCATCTAAAGATACTCTAGGGAATTATACGCCAACCAAACAAATGAGAAAGGTTTCTTAGCTCTTACGTTTTCCCGGTGAAGAACGTGAGTGAAACACGCTGAAACCCATCAGATGTGTTCAAATGGTAACGCTTCCAACACGTTTTCTCGGGGAGGACAAAATTGTTATGGTTTCCCTGAAATATTTAGTGGTTTTTCTCATGAAATTCGGTACAGTACATCCGAATGCTCGCTCTCTTACTCCACAGTCCATTCCAGTTCAATGAACTCACAATCTTGCGTGTCTACAAGCTTTGTAGTTGATGTAGAATCATTAAGTGACCTATGAATCAGCCAAATCACGCCGTTTTGAGTCAGAAATCTCCAAGACCTCAAGTGTTCGTATTTTTTAACTTCAAATTTTTTAAATTTGAAGTCAACAGTGACCTAGATAATGGTGATAATGAAGGTGGTAGGACTGTCATGAATGTTAAAGCGATAGTTGTAAGTTGTCGTGACTATTATAAGATAACATCGCATTGTGTGACCAGAAAATTCAACTTCCATCTACGCCTAGGTCAATCGAGTGATCTCTTCCTTTAAGGCTTTCCATCCAAAATTTCATACACATGAGTTAAAATTCTGTACTCTAAACTTCACGTTTGGACTCCTTGATGCATGGTTCCTATTTTATAATTTTTATGCTTACTTAAGAGGTTCACGCTAATTAAACTAAAAATGTGGACTACACATGACGATGCGGACAGCGTGTTTCAAACGAAATTTATATAACTCGAGTGCTTCAGTATCGTGGGGCAGTTTTATGAGACATTCGCACTTCAGACAAATAGTATCAAGCTAGAGCGCTTGGAAATGTTTTTGTGACGAGTGGTACACCTGGCAGGACAGAGATTTTCGCATTCGTCAGCATGTACGGACACCGACTCAGGAGACCACTCAGCCATCTATCTTAGGACAACTGGGAGGATGTTTCCTCTGGGGTAAAGCAACTGGAGTGTGAAGATGACCGCACTCCGCGTTCCTGAATTCGTACAGCCAGCTATACATCCAAGACTAGCGTGTTGCGTAGGAACAGGAGCAAAGTTTTACCTGTTACTCCGTTATTCCTTCAGGACTAATAAGCAGTCACTGACAAAGGCGACATTTTCATTAGTGTGAGAAAGGGGAAGTTCTGAAATACCACAAAACTCTACGTGGCGAGAAGCACAGCCATTAAACAAGTGCCAATGAGAGTAAATCCTAAAAGAAAATCTTGATCTTTGGTTCGGAGTTGTGTGGACGGAAGCGTGCTAAGCTGACACGGAAGAATTAAACGATTCAATAGTTCCGAAGTAGCACTGACAGTGGTACAGCAAAACAAATTCTACAGTATCGATCACGAGAAAATTGAATTTTTAGTCGACCAAGAACAAGAACGAAACAAAATTGTTGTTGCTAACTGAACCGTATCAGGACAATGCGCCCGATGCGTTCAGAAGAAAAAGAAGAAGATGATGATAATGTCTATTACTTCGGACGGAGCGACAATTTGGTAAACACGACAAAAGGGCTAATTTCTTTACAAGACAACTTTCCTATGAAAGCAAGCCTTTACTTAAAATGCTGATCTGTGAGAACGTTTTAAAACGACATCTGAAAGACTAAGATGGAGGACAATATCTATTGATAATTATATACTATCTTTAGAGTTGATATGTACCCTAACTTCAGTCAAAGGACTATGGAAAACCATTGAAAACGTAGTAAACAAAGCGAAAATAATTTTGGAGTAACGCGTTCGAGATGAAAATAATATATTAAATTAAGTATTAAATAAATATGTAGTTGAGGATGTGAAGTTGATTGAAGATTGTTAGAGTCCTGTCCAAAGGATAAGTTTGGTTTGATGGGCCCGCTAGAGGGGGCTAATAACAATCAGTGGTTTCAGACAAAATTAACACCTAATTAACAGCGGCTGAAAATGGCAACAATGAAATGTAATAGCTATAGACTAAATTAAAGGATAAATACAAAAATTAAACAGTAATGTTATCCTCAAAAAGCCGTTTATCAGATTTAATAAAAGTCGTTACAGCACTCAAAAGACGTTCTAAGGCAATTAAATAAAGTGGTACTTGAAATTAATTACGATGAATAAAAGCGTATATTCTAACACTAGCTTAATGAAATACATAGCATAATAAAAACATGTCAAAGGACTCAGAAGTTATAAGAGCCCTTAATTAAAGTAACCTTTGCAAACTACCTGATTCTAACTTGCTAATTACTAAATAAGTAACTCCTTTAGAAGCCAGCAGTACGCTCAGCTAGCTAAGATCTTCGCATTTTACGGGAACGGAAATTTCATACCGTCTTCACAAGAACCCACCACCGGAACTAAAGTGACCATTCTAAGCCAAAATGAAAATTTCGCGACTAAATATCCATGTCAGAACATGTGGTAAAAATATCAAGTAACAGAAATGTAACATATCCGTTGTGGTCTCCCTGGTTGTAATGCCGTGTCTTCTTGTAGGTGGCTACGAACGTCTCGAAAAGTACATACCGCCTTCACCTTCAAATCACCTACAAAGCCTCACAACCCAGAAGACCACTATCGAAGCTTTTACTGCCTTGAGCACCTCAAATCTCAGACAGTAATGTAATAAATATTATTTTTATTAATACGTAACTTATAACACTTAGTCTATTGTTAGTTCAATAACTTTTATGTACAGAACATGAATCATGACAATTGACTATCGTTCGTAAAATCACTCTTATTACATAACGTATTTTATTTTTTATGTATAGTTACGCACACGGGCCTGTGTACGCAATATTTCCAAAATTGAGTTATACTTTACAGACAAATAACATTTAGATTTCCTGATACCCGAATCCGTATTTGGTCAAGAACTGTTATTCGCCCTATTCTTAAACGTCGAAGCCATTTGACTATGTTACAAGAATAGTAGTAGTACGGTAGATAAATATAAAATCGTAATTGTATTTTCAGTTTATCGCCAGACTGTAGTCGCACAAGTGTTCCGTGGATGAGAATCCTCCATTAACGAAGCTGTTAAAGTGTTGAAGGATCACACACGGTAGAGTTACGTTAGGGAAGTTTGGGCGAGAAGGTGGTATTGAGAGGTGGCTGAACAACGATGGAGTAACTTTGAACAGCATGCTAAGTCTCATGTCAGTATCAAGGGTATC